AATTTATAAAGTCTCCCACCACATCTTGCACTTCAAAAAAGTCTTCTGTTTCTCCTGTTTCTGTCTTTGAAAATTAGTTTTTGACGCTCTCTCTCAAAGCTATAGATTCGTGGAGTGCAGTACCAATAGTTGTTGCCTTCGCATTAGCTCTAGACCCCTGTAGCTCCTCCAGACTTATCATACGACCCTTTTAATGCTTATTAAAGTTGCCTAAAAGCTATTTTTCATGCATCTCTCTTTTATTTTATAAATCATTTTACATAAAGTAAGAGACTTGTTTGATTGTAGTTGAGTATGCTATACTCCTTGATCATTTTCCTATATTTCAGTTATTGTACTGAGGTCTGGGGTAAAACATATACCAGTAACACATAAGCCCTTGTTCCTTCTGCAAGAAAGAGCAATTGGAAACATCAGTAAGAAAGGTTACCGAGAGAACACCTATCATTTATTTATTGAAAAGAAGAGTTCTTAAATTTAAGGAACTTGTTGACCTGAAAATCCTGATTATTATGTGGGAAGCTAATAAAAAATTTAAAAAATTACCAGAATTTTCGGGAAATGTATGCACAGACATTGTTTATACAGAAATGTCCATCTGTTTATGGCATTAAACTGTGAGTGTGGAAACTAAATGCTGTACAAGTGTTTATAAATTAAAGAAAAAAATTACAAAGATAAAACTCTGAAAGATTATTTAATTAATTTCTATTTATCTATATAGCTCCAATTCACAACACATGTCCTCTCAAGGTACTTTACAGAGACAATTCAACCAGATCATAGAGTCAAATTGATTCAAAGTTTTTTATCTACAGTAAGGAAAATTGCATTGACTCATTGACTCAAAGGCAATCCTTCACACTAAGCATGCTTGTAGCGACAGTGGTGAGGAAAACTCCATTTTTAAAAGGAAGAAACCTCCAGCAGAACCAGCCTCAGTGTGAGCGGCCATCTGCCGAGGCCGACTGGGGTTCAAGGAGACAGAAGCAGAGATACAAAATACAACTGTCATTCAGCTGCACTGGTGGCCCCGTCCAGACTTAAACGTAGACACAACTTTATTTATCTCTTGGGATTACTCCTGGGAAATTCTGGTAGCTTATATAGAGTAGAAAGGGCAGAGTTAAAGCAAGATGCCATTAAAAATAAAAATACAACCAACAATATAAAAAGAGTGTATTTACAGTAGTAGCTATTCAAAATTTCCCCACTTTCCTTGATGGGCCCTTGGTTGGTCCCCTGCAATTCCTTTTTAAACATCAATCTTTATACTAAAATATTTTTCTGTCATGATTTGTGGACATTAACATCTAAAGAGAAGCGTCACCTCCTGGTCAGACCCTTTAATGCAGTGAAAGGGTGGAGTCAGAGTGAAAAAATATGCAAGAGGGTATCACTCCAGTGACTGGAAGTTGGAGGGGATTTCCCTGATAGTTGGAGGGAAGTGGGCTGCAATTCAGCTTTTGACTGAGAAGGGCCATTTTGAATGGCTGCTACTGTAGTACAAAAGTACAAAAGTCCAGGAAAGGTTCTTGTTATTATTCTCCTCTATTAATGAGGAGGAATATACATTATGAACAAATTAAAAACTTCTGAATGTAATTGCTAAGCTTTAAGATGAATTATGCTTGTTTTTTATGAGCAGTTAGGTTTTAATTATGTGAAATATAGTTTTATTTTTATTATTTTAAAGTTAGGAACAGTTAATACACGATTTATGATGTTCATGCATGGAAAAAGAAGATAATGCAATGACATGTCATGAACAAATAGTATTTTCTGTCTCTTTCATCCGACATTACTAATTAAAACGATTAAACAATATCCAAGCTGAAGAACAATAAGGCTCATTGCTATGTGCTGAGGAGCAGATTTACTCAATTCACAAATGTGGGAAGCATACATTTATGTTAATATAAATAACCCACATGCTTTTGTGTGTGTGTCTTTAATACCAACATATGTGTTTTTTTTTTTTCATTTCTCACAACAGGAATTTAAATCTTGTGGCCTCTGGTGATATCCTGTAATCATGTGGAAATAAATACGTGCAGAAAGGGATATGGAAAAAGGGAGAACTGTCAGAATGAAAAGTAGAAAATTACCATGGCCTTTAATTAGATATGGGTACCATATTCAAGCCAGCTAAGGTCTAGTTTTTCTCACAAATACTACATGTACAGTATACGTTTTCATACCTAGAATTGCACCCAAAGTGTAGTCAGCAAAAATATACACTTATTTAGAAGACAACTTTACAAAAAAAAAAACAACAAGAATTAGACCAGACCATAAATTTGAAAGAATTATAATTCACATTTTGGAGTAAGATTAACTTGAAATGGGATAACATCTTACTGTGTTTACTCAGCCCAACAAATGCTAGTTGTTAATTTTGTGAATGGGGAATTTCAGTTTTTTTCAGAGATCAGGAATCCTACTTGATCGAGTATTCAAACCCATGACTGCCCTTTTTATTGGGTCAGAGGCACGGGCAGAATCCATGTGATCATCTTTATGGAAAAAACAAGCAAACCAGTCAGTCATGCTAATTGTTACATAACTTGAAAACAGTTTACAACAACACAGTTGGAGACACTTGCAGCTAAATAAGATTGCATTCTAAAGACAGACAGACAGAAAAAAGGAGAAAGAGCCACAAAAAGAACAAAGTTAAACTCCTATAGCCAACTTTATCTCAGCACTTATTCCAAAAAATACTTTTATTTATTACTGTCTTATAACAGTTGAATTCAATTTCAATTCAGTTTATTTACATAGCGCCTATTCACAACACATGTCACCTCAAGGCACTTTACAGTTCATCAGATCATACAGTCAAATTTATTCAAAGTTTTCTATCTAAGGAAAACCAGTTGATTGCATTGACTCCTTGACTCGAATGCAATCCCTCACACTAAGCATGCTTGTAGCAACAGTGGAGAGGAAAAACTCTCTTTTAACAGGAAGAAACCTCCAGCAGAACCAGGCTCAGTGTGAGCATGCCCGGTCCAGGAAACACACAGCCAGGCAGATGAGATTGTGTTATGTTTGTCCACCAACTTATTTTTTGTGTGTTTTTTATTTTTTTGCAGACTTTATGAGGATTCCATGAGAAAAGTGTGTTAGCATGTCCCTGCACTCAACCGTGTTGTGATTCAGTACTCTGTTGGACTGCATTTACTTCTGCAGTTGGGGATCTGTTTTCATGCCTCGGCAGTTTGCGCGTTGTATTTACACTGAGATTTCTGCATGACCTCTTTAACATAACCACACTCTTGTCATTCTTGGTTAACGTGCAGCGTCCTCAGCAACTGACCATGCAGCACCCTCCCACACCTTCCATAGACAACATGATGCAATGAATAACATTTGATGATGGTATGCATCAAAGTGATACATTTCTAATATCTGTTTGTGTTTTAAAAGAACATAGGATCAAACAAAAAGCTTGAAAAGGTTTCTAAAAGGAAACCAATTTCTCTGTTGAGGTGCGTTTGATGTGGGTTGCATACATTACCTTTCAAAAGTAGTAACAAAGTGCATCGTGTACATGTTCCCTCTATGAATGCCTTGTAAAACAATCTTTTAGGGTACATCTCCACCAGCTTTACTTGAGAGACCAATTTCAGTCCAATTGGATAAAAAAAAAAAAAACTATTTTAAATATTTGCCATGAATCTTCAGCTGGGTTTAAATGTGTAGTGGGGCATGTTCTTCTTCCAGGTGGATCATCAAAATAAGTGGTCCTCCTAATTGTCAATCATTCTGTGCCTGAGCACTTTCAGGTGCATATGTGTGATGAGCTACAATTTCAGCCAGTCATTGAAGCCCATCTTTCTCACTTTCTTTCTTGATTCTTTGTCCTAAATATATTTTCACTTGGAGAGTCTGACAAAGTGGAAAAATGCAAATTTTCTTTTGGAAAGTCAGCTTGCATGAACGATGCAAACAACAACTTTTAAACAGAGCGTGCACGAGGAGAATTGGGCTCCTGCAAATGTTTAATAGCAAATGTTTAATAGGCGTTCCCTCTCAGGGTTGTGCATGTGCATTTCTTTTTCTTAAGTGGAGAGAGTGGGTCTTTTCAAAAATTCGCAAAAATCCTTCCCTTTAACTTTAAGACTAGACTGCAATCTAAACATTTCCTTTCACACTCTCTGCGTTAAATCTTGTACTGATGGTAGATAGACCCCTGCCCCAGTCTACAGTCTTTTGCAGCGTCTAGGAGGTTTTCTTCAAGAATTATCTTTGGCTGCATCTATCTGAGCAAAGGCCTATATAGTAGCCAAATTTCTGTCTATTTAATAGAAAATTTAAACAGTGCTTGTTATACAGTACAGTATTTTGGTCCATTATAAAATCTTAATAAATGCAATGAGGTGTGCAGCTTTAAGATTCAGGTCAAACTTTTGCAATTGACTTTAGCTCTGTGAAAGTACAGTGATGCTTATGTCAGTGTTAAAGGAGAGAAAAATGCATGTCTGAAGGGGAATGGGTGAGTCATGTGCCATATATTGAGACTCGCAGTCCTCTTATATATTTCCACTTTGCAGTTGTATTTTGAAAACACTCCCTCAGGCAAAGCAGACATGTGCACAGCTCTCAACTGCACGTCGACTAATCGACATTTTGAGTTTACTTAACTGAAAACATGAAGTGGATGTTTTTAAAGCTTTGCTGGCTGTATGTTTTATTTGCATAAAAATTCATCTAATTAGGTAGATGAATATGTTTACTAAAACACAACCACAACATTCTCTTGTTTAAATGTTCAGCTTATTTCCTTTCTTCCCCCATGTTCCCTCCTTTTTCCTTGCCTCTATTTTACTTCCCTCCATCATTACAATCAGAGTCAGCACTGGAGCTGAGAAAATGGATGGTGTGCCTATTTTTAGAATTAGGGAAGGAGGGCAAACCAAAAGTAAGCTATGGAGAGAGGGAGGTTAAAGTGAGGAGGAGGAGGAGGAGGTGGAGGAAGAAGAAGAGGAGGAGGAGTGATGTGTGGAGGAGATAAATCTCCATTCAGACTGTCTCTGCTCAGAGACAGCTGATGCTTCAGAGCAGCATTGTTGGATTCAAACACAGAAGCTTTAATAAGACAAAAACGGACAAATTTAGTTACAACTGCAACAAAGACAAAGGATTATAGACAAACCAACGGCTGCCGTCTGTGTGCAGGTCAGTATGAAGGCAAAGCATCAATACAGCATTGTGAATAGAAATGCATGTGTTTAAAAGGCACTATTTTCTGCTTCAGCTCTGAGCTCCGAGCGTGGAGCCATTTTTAGATGTTGTGTATCAAAGGAGGGATTTATATTTAGCCCTGGTTACACCTTGTAAGGAATCTGGGAGAGGCTGGTGTTTTGTGGTTTGAGGCGCTTCTCTATATTTGGCCACGAAGGTTAAAACAAATATATTTTGTGAGCTTTGCATGAGGTTAAAGGCAAAAATACTGACTGATACATTCTGAGACATATTTTTGACATGACTGAGATGGAGATTTAAAATAGTCTGTTTATCCAGCTAGGATCGGTTTTGTTTGGTCTGCAGCTCCAGAGTAAGCAGGGGGATGATGCTTAAAACGAGGGAGATGAGAGACAGAGAGAGAGGGAGGCTTGTTTGTTTGGCTTGATTGATGCAGTCAGTTGATGGCTATTGGAAAAAAAAAGGCAGGCTCCAAACTGCTCTGAATCATGTGAGCAACTTCTAGATTATGTCACTGGAAAACCACATTAGCCTGATGAGGGAAAATAAGGTTCAAAATAATGCAAACAAAAACAAAAATATCTCCTAAACAAGTATTTTATTTTTAATTCATTGTTAATCTGCAAAGCTTTGTAACTTATATGTGAAAGAGACCTGACTATGTTTGATATTTTTTTTTAGGAAAATACAAATACTTCTTTGTTTTTATTTATTACAGACCCAGCTAGTCATTCAGGCCAGGTCTGAGTGGAGCAGCAGATTGAGGTATGAAGATAACCTCATACACGCGCTGTATTCATGTCCAAAGATTCAGGTAGTTCGGGGGTGGCAACATAAAAGCAATAAATACATTATGAAGCTAGATTATAATTTACATTGATTATATAGGTAACTTTAACAAGGGATGTGGCTTTTGGATCACATATAACTCTTAAAACATCCATCCTGGCTCTTTGTAATTTTGACCAAAATAATTTGAGGTTTTATTCAAATGGTATTAGAAGTTAGTCAAATGTACAAAATGCAATAAAGTGCATGCATTATATGACAGGGCAGTGGACTGGTATATCTATGACACTGCAAAATGTAGATCAATATGTAAACAAAATGGGACACTTAAATACTTGATAGATGTCAGTCAGACAATAGTTGAAGCTAAAGCCAAAAAGCATCTTTACTTAAGAAGCTGACTGTTGACAGAGTATTGTAGGAAAGCTTAAGCCTGGAAAGTTGAGTGGAAGCAAAAATAAGGGACGCAGGCAACGGGGATTAGCCCACACTTTGGCTGACTTAGAGTCAGTGATTCGAGAACAAACAAACACGGATGGGCCAAAGGCACAGTCAAAATAAGTGGAGTCACTTTAATCTATGCTCCAAAAGAAATAAGCAAGTAAAGGGTTGCCGTGGTCCTGGCTGTGAGTTACAGTGCCAATGACACTGGTAGTAACAGCAACACAAACATGGAAAGTGATCACGGTGAGGATAGTTTCACAACAGTTGTATGAGGCGTAGGATTCCTCTTCACCGTCTTCACCACAGGCAGAGGAAATTGCAGGAAGGGAGGAAGGTTCTGTGTCCAGCAGCTCTGAGCCGTATCGGTTTGAGCTGTTGGCCCTAAATATTCCCAAAGCGATGCTTGATGATGTTGCAATAACAGCATAAATCTCAAAATAAAGACTCGTCAAACCCGCTTGATTGGTTTTTGCACCGACTGTATTCTTTAAATTCAGGTGTCCTTTCTCAAAATAAGAAAAATAATAATCTAAAACTACACTTGTCTGATCCAAATGTTTTAAACATCTGTCATGAATATTATATCTTAAAAAACGGTTTTTAAGAAATCTTTCAAAGATTTTGCTTCCTAGATGTACATCTAAGGTTTTGAATTTAAAATGATTTCCCTCCCTCCTCTGTCTTTCAGCCATGAGGCTGAGGTCCAGACTGCTAAACAAGAGAAGAGCTATGCTTCCCACAATCAGAGAGGGCATGGAGGAGAGAGTGAAGGACCTAAATGAAGCTAACACATTGCACTTCCCCGACAACAGCCAGGGTATTTCATCTGAGGACTACTTTCTCTCCATCTGCCACCTGGCCCGTCCCACCTTCCCAACCGGAGATGTATTCCCCCCAAATCTCCATGCATTTCAGCAGAATGCTGTAGAACAGAGAATTATCGGGACCGCTTTGTCTCCGCTGGATTTCAGTCTGAAGGAGGAAACCAGTGGCACTGACCTCCGGCCAGTGGAGGAGAAGAAACTGGATGGAGAGCTGATGTGCTGCAACTCTGATCCACTTGAGTATCTTTATGGAAACCAAAACAACCTCCTGGCCCTATCAGGAAGGGTGAGGAAAGCAATTGCTAAGGGGCAGCTGGCGAGGCAACGTGGGGACATCATGGAAGGCGAAGCTCGGAGGAGATCAAACAGCATCCCCAACACTTCAACTACAGATTTACAGTTTCAGCGTGGGAGTAGTTCCCATGAAATTATCTGCAAAACTCACACCTCAGTGTACCCTCCAGGATACAGCTTAACCATTTCAGAAGCCAGGAGAGGTGATCAAGTGGACAAAGGAGCAGAAGCAGAAAAATTGAATCAAGCCACCCAACAGTCCTTCATCTCCCAGTGGATTTCAGAATGTAGGTCAGCATGGAGGGAGGCGCGTCAGCGGGCCTGTATGCTGCCTGCTATTGCTGAGGTCTAGGGAGCACAGGTGCATTGACTGGGGCATTCCTGAAAGAAAAAAGTTATCTTTTCTTTCCTGAGCTGAGACATGCAAAGCAGAGTCAGCTGAAGGTTGTCAGAGGATGTGATAGCAGCTTCTGATCACCCAAAATCCAACCAAGCACCCCAACTTGTTATTTATTCTGCCAGTTACTGTGTACACACTCAACTGACGTAATATAAAGCATTTAAAGATAAATTCATTTATAGGAGCTAATTATGAATTCCTATAAATAAATAATTATGCATTTTTTTTTAAGATTATAACTTATTTTTACTTTTCTTAAATAAATGCAACATGGCCCTAAATAGTTTAGACCACTAGCATATGTACAAATACATCTTTGAAGTATACAGAGAAAAAGAAATATTGTTTTGCTATTTCAATGTTTCATCTTCTCCGTTTTTGATGGTGATCTTAAAAATAAATGAACATGAACCAATCTGTGAAGGCTGTTTTACATATTACAGCAATTACCTGTAAATCAATAAATAAACTCATTTTTTATATGCAGTCAGTGATTTTTCCTGCCAGCCACATCATTGCACAGTTTTGCCTGCGGAAACCCCTCAACAACAACCTTGCTCTTGGCTGCGCCTGGTGCCGAGCAGTAGAGTTTCTATGGTAACTGTCGTGGGATCATGTGCTGGTAAACATAGGTGTGGAGGAAGATGGACTACGCACAGATGATAGCAGCTAACCCACACAGGCAAGATGTGGTCCATTTGTTGCTCTTCAGCTCCTAAATGACAAAGAAAAAATTCACAAAAATTGAAAATGAGGGCCACAACAGTCCACTATTGCCATCACCGAATGAAAATAAGCTAAGTTACCATTAGGAAGAAAGGCCTGTAATTCATTTTAGTCAAATTTTATGTATGATCCACAAGAGGGCAGACATGTGCTTTTAATTGAGAAATCTATCTATCTATCTATCTATCTATCTATCTATCTATCTATCTATCTATCTATCTATCTATCTATCTATCTATCTATCTATCTATCTATCTAT